ATGTTTCCCACAAACACACACTCACGTGCAAATCACTCTCATGTCTTTCATCACAGTCCATATGAACACAGACCCAACTCCCACTTGCATCAGATATTCAAATCGCCATCCTACGTACTTGTTGAGCTTTGCTATTGCAAGAAAATCTCCCGTACATCTCTCCACAGTGGCACAAGTACTTAAAACACCGAAAATAAATTAGAAATTTCAATGTATAGCAGCCAAACGATATTGCAGGAAAACATGGAATATACCATTCCTTAAATGCCACAATGACAGTAGCGGCGGGTTTTACAGTTCCACATATAATGCGACACAAGTTGCAAATACCGCTACTGAATCCATTTCTTTATTTGTAGGAATTCTTTTTATTTCGTCAAATTTCTACCCCGCCTCTTTCTTTCTTTCTTTCTTTCTTTCTTTCTTTCTTTCTTTCTGTCTCTCTTTCGCTTCCTCATCTCCTCGCCGCCCGCCACATCTCTCTTTCTTTATCTTTTATTTGAGGGATTTTGGTCTGACGTCATAGAGTGACGTCAGCGTAACCATTGCTACTGAAGTTTCGCTCGTATAAAAGCCACACAGGAAAAAGGGGTGTGGCTTGCTGAGGGGCACACACCTTCCGTACTTCCTTTATGATCAGAGTTTGTGACGTAAAAGAAGAAAGTGACGGGCCTTTGTGCGTAGTACGGGCGCATGCGCGTGTGAGTTCGCATAAAATAGAATGTGGCTTTGGAAGGAAAATGTCTTAATGTATGTCGAGGCTCCTATCTCGCTGTCTGTGTGCGTAGCTGCATCGATAGACGTTTGTATGATACTACGCTACTGTAAGCGAAGGCAACGCTTCATTGTATGGAATTTTAACACATAGGTGCGCGCGCAAAAACACACTCACACACACATATTTATATATAAGTAGGTAAGAATATTAACATATTGGAAAGCCTACCAGTGCATTTATCCGGGCGTGTCTGTGTCCACAAGTGTATATGCTTGCAAGCGTTTGCATGTGTTGAACTTCATGTTGTATGTACGTATTGCTTTTGCGTATGCATATGCATTTGCATATGCCTGGGTGTTACAAGATGCACGTGCGCATATATTCATATATGCGCAAACTGCCGCTTCGTAGGCAGCTGCGTTGGTATATAGTTATTTAGTCGTGAATACGCTGTATAACGTAAATTCATCTACAGGTATATTAGAGTATATCTGACACGCACACACATATAAACACACGCACACATTGGTATGACGCACGCAAGTGCGTTCACATACACATAGTCTCAAAACACGCACATACTCACACACGCATATATATATATATATATATATATATATATATATATATATTGTGGAGAAATGAGACAAACTGGAAAAGCTTTGTAATGACAAAGCCTTTTCGCCACTTTGTGTGTTAGGTTGGCGTCCTCAGATGAATGAAAGACAAAACTATTATTTTTTTTTATTAAAACCGTCAATGTTTGATTGCACAGTTGACATCTGCTCAGAATAAAAGAACAAAACTGCTCTTTTTTTTTTTTTTTTTTTAGTCGTCAGTACCTGTTTGCTGGGTTGGGGTCTTCTGGTTGTAATGGAAAAGCAAAATTGCGTTTATTATTATTATTATTATTATTATTATTATTATTATTATTATTCTTTGATTTCTGGCGTTTACACATTTCTTTCCGGGTCTCGCCAAGGGACCTAGGGTTAGAAATGGCGTCATGACACTTTCCACTGAAAAAAAAAAAAAAAAAAAAAAAAATTACATAGATAAAGCCCTTCGTAAAGTGTGGGCTGTACTTGTCAGAACAATTTTTTGTATCTCTTTGAGGCATGGACTTCCAGGAATATTATTATTATTATTATTATTATTATTATTAATTTTTTCTATTTTTTATTTTTTTATTTTATTATTATTTTATTTCCTAGGCTTTCTGTTGTATATATATTTCCTTCCGGCTCCCAACCAGAGGCTTAAAGTGAAAAACAGTTTCACGACATTTTCCCCTGATCATTTTTTGTAAAAAAAAACCCCTAAAAATCTAATATCACAAAAATGTGTTTCTTCTTCTTCTTCTTCTTCTTCTTCTTCTTCTTCTTCTTATTATTATTATTATTATTATTATTATTATTATTTGTGTTGTTATGTTTCCTGCTTTGTAACTTGTAGAGCTGAATTCAAACTATGGTTCTTAGGCACTATAGGAGAATTGTCGTTTAATTGTCACTTTTCTTAGTATACGAGGTGTTCCTAGTAAGGCGATCTTCTGGGTAACTTGAATGTTGATGTTACCTGAGACACTGTTAGTAAAAATATCCGTTTCTTTTCTCACGAGGCCCACAGCTCCGATTACTATTGGTACAGTTTCAGTCTTCATTCCCCCCCTTCTTTTAATCACGATCTCCAGGTCCTTGTATTTGGACAATTCCTCGATAATTTTCATGGAGGGGTTTCTCTCAGATGGCACTGCTATGTCACTAAGCATGCACTTCCTGAATTATTAAAGCCATTAATGTCTGGTCGATTTTAAATTAACTCATTCCTAGTAGATTTCTGTTATTCTCGCTCTTAGTTCGCCTACCGCTACTATAGCTTTTGAAATGATCGGTAATATTATGCATGAGCCTGGTCTTAGGTTCATCGTCTGGAATTGTGAAATCAGTGCACTGTCAATACATTTTCTTCTATCCTAATAGCATATATATATATATATATATATATATATATATATATATATATATGTGTGTGTGTGTGTCTGTGTGTGTGTCTGTGTGTATGCGTGTTAACAGTATATAGTATAGTATCGGAAATAAGTGAATAAATAAAAAAAAGAAAGTTATACCCCTTTGTTTCAATATATATACATATGTTCATACACCTGTATCCTTGAACATATTCACGGGAAATTATTGGAGTTTTAATAAGAATACACGTATTTTTTGTGCAAAAAATATTATATATTCTTAGGTGATTTGAAGTGGCTTAATGTTTAGCAAGTTAGTCTCACAAATCATTACTCACTTGTTCGATCCTCATTGGGTACCCCAATACCTACAGCCAACTGCCAAGCTACGCTTAGTAAATAATTATTGCAATATAATAATATATATCTATCATATGTTTGAAATTGCTCATTATATATGCACGGATTCTCATGTTTGGCTTAGAGCGATACGTGCATAGGTAAAGCGGTATTGTTTATAATAGTATGAACGCACTACTACACACACACACATATATATGTAAAAGGTGTTTCATTAAGACGGATCAAAGAAATAAATCAGTGTTATTGGTGAAAATTTATTTATTTCTCTATTAGATCATGTTATTTAAGTCATGGCAGTTATGTGGGGGAAATAATATCGCCCAAATGTCCGCCAGAGCAGAAAGAAAGAGGAAAAAAATCATTAGACGCTTAAATTTAATTCGCATTTAAAATCGGTCTAAGTTACTGGAATTCCCTTTATATATGAAGAAATATAGTTTTAAGCTATGCTATATTTATGGGATAAAGTGTTCAATATCAGAGATAGAGCGAATTTAAATATAAAATTGAACATTGAAGTCAATACTCAGATGATTGCGTTTAACATGAAACAGTCTGTCACCTCTGAGTGTTGACTTTAATATTCATTTATATATATATATATATATATATATATATATATATATATATATATATATATATATATATATAAATATAAAATTGAACATTGAACTCAATACTCGGATGAGTTTAGGATGAAAGAGTCTGTCGCCTTTGAGTGTTGACTTCATTGTTCACTTATATATATATATATATATATATATATATATATATATATATATATATAGATAGATAGATAGATAGATATAGATATATACATATATATATTATAAATTGTTCATTTAAAATATATTTTTTTCGCTACACAATTCTAACCATGTTTCAAAAATGGAAGCTAAAAGCTACGAATTTAATTTTTTTTGAAAATATAAAAATATCTATAAAGAACACCGGATTATATATCTTATTGTTCTTTCTTTTTATTTATACACACACACACACACACACACACACACACACACACACACACACACACACACACACACATATATATATATATATATATATATTTGTGTGTCTCATTTTGGTAGCCAGTTGTCTTTTTTATGCTTGATTGAAAACCACGGAAATATTTCTGTTGAGAAGATTTTTGTATAATCTTTCTTGTTTTCTTAAAGTGTTTTCTTTTTTTTTTGAGGGCTTATCTCTCGATATTATAATAATATTGAACAATCAGTGAAAACGCTTGTAAGAAAACAAGAACGAAAAACTTCTCAGAAATATTTTTTTGTGGTCTTCAATCCAATATCCACTCCATGAAAGGCAATGGACTTTGGATGAAATCTGTCTATGGAAAATGCGACACCGGAATTCAGATGCGCACTGGACTAGCAGAAGTACTGAGAAACAGAAAAAAAAAAATTGGTTAGAAACAGAGAAAATAGTTCCGATCTGCCATGTGATACCCGTCCTCTTATATAGCCGAGAATGCTGGACAATCAGCTCCACCACAGATGAAGAGAAAGGTTTAGGCAACAGAAATGTCGCTCTAGAAGGATTGTGGGAATACTATGGACGGAGCGCGTAAGCAACGAAAGACACGGGATATACTGATATTCACAGGAGATATCGAAGGTAAAAAGGACAAGGTAAGGCAGCGGACCAACAACCTGACGAATTTGTGTAAATGGACGGCGGAACAGGAGATGGGAAGCTCGTCAAAGTGATAATGATTTTGATTTGATCTGATTTGATTTGTCTGTTTAACAGCCTACCAACAACTTATTTAATGCCGAAATTTAATTTCCTTGCGAGTGTTATTCTGCTTTCACAATACATGGTAGATGATGCTAACCTTTTGTGCATATACATGTCTGTGCGGACTTCATTATTAGAGGCGTTGATATGTGTTTTATGTTGTAGTTTTCCCATAGTTATATTTTAGAATACGGTTTGATTTAAGAAATTGTCGAATGTTATGTAGATTAATATCAGGGATGAGTTACTTTACGCTGGTTGTTTGGTATTAATTTAAACGGATTTAGGTAAAGTCGCTCCAATTTGTTAGCCTGTACGTATTGTTGGTAATGTTACTATAAAAATGTATTTTTATACTTTCCTAGTGTTTTGTTTGAGTGTTCCCTATTAACCTATAGCAGATGCTATTGCCTCGGGTTAGGCTGAATCTAGGAACAACAGCAATTAGGAGGTTGTTCCACGTTACTCAAAACCTCCAATCTCCCGATCAGAGGCCTTGCTGTCGAATGTAGTTTATCGTCATACTTAGGACTAGCCAAAGGGCAAACGTTGCTAAGATCTACAAGGTTGGGGAGTGCAAAGATCGCTCACGTCCAGAAGGGACACGGTACATGAAGAAGAATGCGAGCAGCGTTTTTGTCAGGGAAATGTTCAATTATCTCGAGATTAATAAGATTCATTTGACTCATTTTTCGACCAACAAAGTTTCGTGTATACAATGCTCGTCATGATCAGATAAATCTATTGAACTATTGACAGATACATTTCTACTCTCCATGAGAAACGTTAATCATTGACTCCAAACCAATTTGATATTTTGTATTGGGATAAAATTCATTAAGCACATGAAAATATCTAAAAAGTCATGAAATCAACAGCTGATGTCAAGGTCATCTTCAAGATCAAACGTTGGCCTTTGATAGTGAAAAATAAAAATAAAAGATGCCCTTATTCTATAAACTTGTCGAAAAGGTGGACACTTATGTCTACTACAAGTTTTTTTTTTAGCTACAATGTTTTGTTACAGATACCAGTGGGCACATAACAGTGTCTCTTGTCAGAATCCAAAAGGTGTAGAAGTTTTACAAAGCTGAATTCTAGCCAACAGATTTCTGGCTAAGGTCTTGAACCCGCGATACGACATCGTTTAAGAGATTCGGGGTAGGCCACCCTGAAAACCTTTTACTCTAACATCAATATCTTCAAACTGCCTTCAAGGAGATGGTGCGCTAAGATGTCTAACCACATTGTAGTTACGAGTTGTACTGATTTTGGAGGTAATGTTAAGATTGTAATTGAAAGTAACGGAAGCCATATTTGATAAATTATTTTTATGTTATATATAACTTTTATTAATATTCTTATTTTTTTTTACTAAAAAGACTATTTATGGAGAGTATTATATTTATAGCGCATTTCGGACACCGCAGCAATTCTGAAAGTTTTGTTTCCATTCTGCCCACACACACACACACACACACACACACACACACACACACACACACATAAATATATATATATATATATATATATAGTATATATAGTAGTATGAATGAAACTCATAGTTGTACCAAACGGTGAAGATTAATAGTAGTAGTAGTAATAGTATATATATATATATATATATATAATTCACATCATTCACTGTATTTTAATGCATACGTTATGTTTCTACTAGCGAAGTGATTTTCGCCATTAATCGCATTAATATTGCTGATTGATTCTATGTATGATTATGTCTTTATATATAAAATATATGCTGCCTAATTTAATGATTTTATATATATATATATATATATATATATATATATATATATATATATATATATATATATATATAATATATATATATATATATATATATATATATATATATATATATATATATATATAGTATTTATTAAAATTATAGCATAAACATGTTATAACATCAATACAAAATAGCTATTTTGTTTCAGCATTTCTGGTGTCTTGTCAAGTGATGGTGTTGTTTGCAGAATCTGCAATCAATTCCAGTCAACAGCATAGAATTTACGGTTACATCTAACCAACTCAACTGTATATAGATGAGACTTTGTTGATAATCTAGTCTTCTTCATTATGTGCCATGTCCACTCAGGACGTATGCTATCATAGCTCCCTACAAATTCTGTCTTTTGTAGCTCTTAATATATTTTGCATTGCCGCAAGCAATTTCCTCAAGCCCATCAAGTTTGCTATGTCCTGTTTTCCTTTGTACCTCTTTCTCTCCATTTGTCTTGTGAGTATCAGATTTTCCAAACTACCCTTCCTTATTATATTCCCCAGAAATTCTTTCTCTTTCTGATGTGTCCTTTTTGTTTCCATTTTCTCCAAAACCTCGTTCTTGGCCGCATGTTTGGCTCATGGTATCCTCAACATCCTTCTGTAGAACCACATTTCTGTTGCTTCAAGTCTCTTCTTTGTTTTTGTGGAGATTGTTCAGCATTCACTGCCATATAGGTGAGCATATATCACGTCAGAGTTCAGTATTCTGTGTTTAAGTTCACAAAGTTTCGGTACCATCACGAAGAATTGATCCGAACAATTACCATGAAAGTATTTATAAAAATACAGAGAAGCACCTTTACGGCGATGGAAAAGTGTCTGAAGCTGAGGTGCCAGATCAAGACCAGTAATATTACTTATTTTTCTTTGGATTTTTTCAAGGATCTATAAATATATAGCAGGGGAACCGGACCATACGTGGCAATAGTAGTCAAGGCATGGATGAATGGTAGACCTATAGATATGTGAGATAGATTCTGGAGAGAAAAAACTCTCTAGAACGACACTGAACCAATTTTCTTAGTAGCTGAGCTAGCAATTGATTCTATATGAGCTTTCCACTTCATGTCAGCCGAGAATGTTAGCCCCGAGAAGACGCAAGGATGTTAGCATTAGTCAAACTGATGGAAGTTAGAAAGGAGTTTCTCAGATGATGATTGGTTGGGAGGAAAAAGAAGACGCACTCTAATGTTATAATTGACCAGTGTGGAGTTCTTCAGCTCCAGCACTTCGCAATGTTACTATAACATCGTTATAACGTTAGGGGATGAGTGGTCATTTTGGGACCAGGAAAATAGTTGAATCCATCGTTCCAGTAAAGCGTCAACGTCACATCTCAACCAGCCAAAATACAATGCGTTCGCAACGTTACAAGGGCGTTCCATATTAGTTGGATATTATACTGAACTCGATCCTCACTGAATGTTACATATTCTGGGACTTGTGCCAAGCATAGTAAATATATATTTGCAACTGATATAAATAAAATATTGTGTGTACATGCGCATGCGTGCGTCTTAGTGATTTTCCACGTCGTCAGTAGTCGACGCCATCTTTATAATCGTTACATATGTCATACGACAACTACTGACTCCAATATTCAATAAGGCTTCTTTCAAATATCGTAGATTTTCATAGACTTACCTTAGCTCTCGTTTTCTGTGGAATACTGAGGAAATGGACATCGCCGGGTAAATCTCTTTGGTCAGAGAAATGGCGAGAATGTTGAAGCATGGTGCCCCAGCGAGAGTTCGATTTTGATGTGACCTCATTGTAAAAATAATGTTTTACTGTGCTTGTGTGTCGATAGGTTAGTATCGTGTGGACACGAATGTAAATTTTGTAGCCTTGTAAATTTGTGTGTCCGTGTTAATGTACACATGTATTTTTAGCAGTTTCTTCAGTAAATAGAAATAATTAAGCATGCGACACGGTCGGTATGCTTTTTTTATAGAAACATTCAAGTGTACACATCCTATCTATCTATCTATCTATCTATCTATCTATCTATCTATCTATCTATCTATCTATCTATCTATCTATCTATTCTTAACGATTGTTAAAATAAAGAAAATATCATTTTAAAAATTACTTACTTTATTTAATTTCAAATTGATTTGGCCTGGAGATATTGACCATCTAGAGGCAATATATTCTAAGGGCAGAACTCAGCAAGTTACATTTGGGAAATGGTCAATGGTAAAGCACCAGTGGAACCTGTCTCAGAAGATGCCGTGTTAAAATCCATGGAAACGTCTGACGTCATAGGGGGAAAAACGCGTGATCAGCTAATGCTACGATCACCTGCACAGGTGCATGTGCACATGTTATACATGTATTTACACGTGCTTTTTAACTTGTGTCACATTCAAGATGTGCCCGTGGCTATATTATTATAGGAAACACATATTATTATAAAAATACACTCCTATTATTGCGTACACTATTATATGTAGACTATTATTATAGGATCCGCACTATATAATTATGTGTATACTAATATTCTATATGCACGTACTGTATTATTATAGATTCATCTATCTATCTATCTATCTATCTATCTATCTATCTATCTATCTATTTATCTCATTCTGTTTCTATCTATCTATCTATCTATCTATCTATCTATCTATCTATCTATCTATCTCATTTTGTTTCTATCTATCTATCTATCTATCTATCTATCTATCTATCTATCTATCTATTTTCTTGAATATTGGATTAACAAGGAATGCAATATCACGTCCAGTCTCGTATTGATCTATTGGAAGGTAAATTATGTTCATTCTTTGCTTTTAGTTTACGCGGTTTAAAAAATCCTTTTAAATCTTTTTCTATATAGATACGGCAATAATTCCGTTGTTTAAATGATGAGACAACCATGTATTTTACATAATTAAAACTTCCCAACATAGTCTCCTCCCTTGTTAATGCACTTAATTCAAGAGTGAATAATAATTATATCGGTGAAGAATTATGAATTAAAGATTTCGACACTTCGACGTAGTGTAATGATTAGCAAATTTGTATTTGTCAAATCAATTTCCATTGAGTAGTGAGTTCGATCCCCACTGGGTGCTACTTACTTGTGGTATAGTGCTGCATCTAATTTACGCGTATTAAATCACTATAGACATATTGATTCAATTGCTTATTTGAATATCTTGTCGTGAAGGTGTGCGTGCGTTAGAGTATACATGTACTTGTGTTATGCTTATGTGTGTGCGATAGGACCGTAGTGAAGATAATTGTTAACATAACTCCAACCATTTTTCTTATATGTGTTGTATTCCTTCAGGACGTGAGCGATTATGACGCTCCACAACTTTCTATCCTGTGTAAGAAATGTTTGTCTTCTTTCTATCCCTCTGATCTGCTATCTATTTACTCAAGCTCGTTAGGTAGAATACTCGATGTATCTTTCAGCTTCTCTTGTTTTCAGTAGTCCCTCTGAAGGTCATATTATCCAAGCCCTCCTTTCCTCATTTCAACTGTCTCTTTTACATAGTGAACTCCCAAACAAAAATCGACGGTACATTTTTAAAATAAAAATGAGCATCAGTACATTTTTTATAGCAAAATGACAATCAATGCAACACTAAAAAAAAAAAAAAATATATAAAAATACATTTTTATAGTAAAACTAGCATCATGACCCGGCGTTGCCCGTGCTTGATTCAAAAATCATACGACTCATACAGCAATCGCTATCACTTGACTTAAAATATTTTTGCCCTTCCTTGCCTTTAAAGAAGTGCCCTTTGCCTTGCTGATGTTGCTACATGCCTCACTTCTTGCCTATCTCACACTGCGAATTTTTTCTAAGCTCTATACTAAACATTAACTCTGTTACGAAAAAAAACTAAACAAAATGAACACAAAAAGATCAGCTTTAAAAAAGGACTCATAATTGGAAAAACCGAATGAAAAAGAATGTTAACAACAAATACTTTTTCACACCCAACCCAGTTCTGCAGAATCAGAATCAACGTTGAGTTTAAGCAAGCGAATGAGCCAATTGGAGTAAAGTGCCATGCAGATTTAAATTTTTCCCACTTGTGACAAATGCAGCTATCGATTTTTTTTTGCATGCTAGCATACTAGTTAACATTCGTGTCAGTCAGCTGTTGGCTCTCATGCTGGCCAATAGAATTTTCCTGTTTATTCGTGGCAGTCAGCTATTGGCTCTCACTCTGGCCAGTAGAAAATGGCCGCAAACGGCATGAAAACTGCCGTAGAAGCCTGAAAAAATCGATTATTTCCACTATCGATGGGAGTTGGGAAATGCAAAGTCGGTCTTGGCCTTCCCGCTAACTTGGAGCATGTGCATGTAAATTTTGGTGCAAATCCGTCGAAAATTGCGGCCGTGCATTCGTTACACACACACAAACACACACATCCTGCCTTATATATATATACTAGCAGTATAACCCGTCTTTGACCGGGTCTTTCATTACTGGGAATTTTTGATGTTCAATTGGAGCAAATTAAGTTTAAATTCAGCCCAATATTAGTATTGGGTGCAACTGAGACCCATCCCCGAATGGGTAGGGGGGGTTAACAATTTGAATTGGGGGTGGCCCCGAAAAGGGCCTTTTTTCGTTCTCAATCTTGCAAGGAAAGAACCATTTCCATGGACGGTCATAATAATAATAATATACGATAATTTTTATTTATAATATAATTATTTTTCTATAATTCTAATAATCTTTTGCGTTAGATTTTAACTCATTGTACGCTTTTTTTACATACATTAAATTTTTCCTTTGATTTTTGTGCAAAGTGTAAAAAAAATCAGTTTTTTTTCGGTTTTTCACCTTTAAGGTTGTAGTTTTTCCAGCCAATTTGGACTCAAAACTGCCACTGAAGATTTATCTATCAAACAAAAAAGATTTCAATGAAAACTGTAGAAACGCATAAACAACATCCGATCACACACGAACACATACATACACACAGACATTTTGAGAGTTATAGATATAGATTCCAAACAATTCATTTTATGATCTAGTAACTATATATCTAAAAAAAAAAAACATACCTTTACTCGAAAAGGGTAAAATTATGTACAAAATATATTCAGTTGAAGCCATCATAATATTTAGATTTAGGCATTAAATGACCCATATAGGTGATGATATGCTACTAGACAAAATCAACAAACAAAAAACAGACAGCAAATATATGCAGATGCAAAAAAGTTCTTAACCCGAAAAAAGAATTTTCAACTTTTGGTTAGATTTTGGAAAGTACTGATCGGCAATATTCTCGCTTCCGCTCATATGTATTCCTTATCCATGGGCGATATATTCCAAGACAGGTAGGGAAGGCCTGAAATTGCGGATAGAATCGAAAACTTTATAAACAAATATTCCCTCACCCCGATACGTATCGACACCCCGTCTACATTTGACCTTTTTTACGCTATTAGGTAAGCTTGTGAAATTTAGTAAATATTAATAACTGATGTCCATGCGTTATGTCTGTCGTTCTTTCTTATTTCTAAAGTACTGTTTAATATTTCGAGGGCGGATGACCTTTGACATTACGATAACCGAAGAAATTTTGGAAAAAAAAATGTAGCTTTTGGGTTGCAATTTTCGAAACTTTTATCGATAAAAAATTGCAAAATGAATTGATTTACATTATTGATATCTATGTATCTATGTATCTATCTATCTATCTATCTATCTATCTATCTATCTATCTATCTCTTTTGAGATGGACTTTATCCGACACCATGCGTGTGTATGTGTTTGTGTGTGTGTGTGTTTGTGTGTGTGTGTTTGTGTGTGTATATATTGGACACTTAATTGGTGACACCTCATATCTATCTATCTATCTATCTATCTGGAGAAAATGGAAGGGAAAATACCAAACAATTAACAAAGAAAAAAAAAACTCTTCGGGAAACCAGCATCTTCGGAAAATTGGAAATTAAATTAGTGTAACCAAGCAGCAGAGACAATGTGTTCAAATATACACAAAAGGCGGCTAATCCCAATATCATGCAGTCCAAAGCTAAGCAAAAGAAATGTCCAGGTCTCAAAAATAAAACACTCAATCAAATTTCAATTCTGTCTACACTAATCTTAAGATGTCCGCAGAAATAGAAAATATACCCCAATATTCATCAAATCATTGTAAAGTCAGTCTACAAACATAAACATTAGTGAAGCTATTCATGAGGAAATTAAGAAAATTATTCAAACTAATGAACAATTAAGCATCACTTGACAATGAGGATGAACTTTTGAAAATAACTTACTTTCTCCTAATATTCAATAACATGTTTCGCTATTTTATGAAGGAAATCTAGAATGAAAAATGCTTCCCCAAAATGTGGGGTTAATCACGCATTATGGAAGCAGAAAGTAGCCCCGAAGACCCTTACACATACAGAGGTAACATTATGGAAACGGAGAGGTAGCCCCGAAGACCCTTACTCATACAGAGGTTGCATTATGGAATCCGAAATGTAGCCTTGAAGACACTTATACATACAAAGGTAGCATTATGGAAATAAAAAGGTAGTCCTGAAGACTTACACAAACAGAGGTAGCATTATGGAAACAGAAAGGTAGCCCTGAAGACTCTTATAGATACAGAGGTAGCATTATGGAATCAGAAAGGTATCCCTGAAGACCCTTACACATACAGAGGTAGAATTATAGAATCAGAAAGGTAGCCCTGAGTACCCTTACATATACAGAGGTAGCATTATGGAAACAAAGGTAGCCTTGAAGACCCTTACACATACAGAGGTAACATTATGGAAACAGAAAGTTAGCCCTGAAGACCCTTAGTCATACAGAGGTTGCATTATGTTATTCGAAAGGTAGCCTTGAAGACCCTTACACATACAGAGGTAGCATTATGGAAACAGAAAGTTAGCCCTGAAGACCCTTACACATACAAAGACCTCAATTGGATCCTTCAGAATGAAAGTATTAATTTAATGAACATTATATTAATTAGGCTCTCATCGTTTTATGAAAATCAATTCGTCACAACCCAGTTTGGTTTTCGTTCAGGTAAATGATCCAATGATGGAATATATGTCATCAAACAACTCCCCAAAATTCTTTACCTCTCTAATAGGAAAGTGTATTCCTGCTTTGTCGACCTCACAGCAGCATATGACCACATCAATAGAAACTTGCTCATTTCATCCACTAGAAATGGCCTTCCAAGCTCCTGATCCACTGAACTTTATTGGTTGACTAAATCTTACACGTCTGTCGGCGACTCTAATAACCCCATCAGGAGTACGAAAAGGGCTATTGAGAGGCCCAGGCTATTTAATATTTTCCTAGACTACCTTGCGCATTTACAAAATCAGCTGTAGAGAGATGGTTACTGGCTGTCTAAGCATTCTATATCACATCCCAAACGAATCTACCAATAGAAGAAAACGATCTTGTTTCCCCCTCGAGGCCTGATGATGAGGTGGGGTACGCTGGTGACGAGGTGGGGTACGCTGATGACATAGGTACTCATAGTTGGGTTAAGAATGACTTTGAACAAAATCCACTGCCAAGTGTTCCAAGAAATAGCACTTAAAATAAACCTTTCCAAATCAGAAACTATGATATGATGGAATGAAATAAAAATTGAGTATTTGGAATTAGTAAATACTAAATACTTCAAATACCTCAATGTGTATGGATCAGTTATAACAAATTTGGTATTGGGGGAAAAGAAAATTAAATATAAAATAGGCTGCGCCAGAGGTAGTTTGGCCCAACACCGAAAATGTTTACAAAACCAAAACCTCATCATGTTCTTAAATAGCCTCATCAGAACGAGACTTTCAGATGGATGTCATGAATGGTGTGAAGCCCTTTCAAAATTATCTAAACTGTCAGCTATATACAAACGTTTTCTAAGATCGAGGGTTAAAATGGCTTTAAGCAAGTAAAGCATGAGGGTCTTCGTAAAGATCCTCCTCCTTTGAACATTGTAGACTGGCGCTTCAGAACTGTACCAAATAAAAGAAATCATATCACTTGAGGACTACCAATAGCAGCAACAACTAAAATGGATAGCACAAGTAACCCGAAGAAAATATAATGACATAAGATGTTGACATTTTACATTATTTCAAATAAAAGGTTAGGAAAGACATCCCCCCTACCACCATCAACACTGGAAAGAACGATAACAGTTACAGGACTTGAATAACCTATTTTCCTGAAAAATTTTTTTAAGAGAAATATTTTATAAATTTCAAGTGAAAGCATTACTGGTTATCGATCAATGAATGCCAAAGGTTTCTTTGTAAGAAAAACTAATATTACCATTACCACTGTCTGCTTCTATCTATCTATCTATCTATCTATCTATCTATCTATCTATCTATCTATCTGAAGAGAGAGAGAGAGAGAGAGAAAATTTTTACCATGTAAAAGGTTTGTCACTTAGCTAATTGATGTTATTTTCAGCATCCCAACTTCAGAGTTTGATAGACGGACTCTTCAGGAATTATACCATCCACTCGCCAGAAGGTAAAAGCAATATATATATATATATATATATATATATATATATATATATATATATATATATATATTATTACCTAACGAAGGCAATAAAGCAAGAGGTTACTGAATGTTAGAAAATATGAGAAAAACTACTATTACGGAGAGAGGACAATAAAAGAATAAAAATTAAGAAGACAGAAGATAACGATTGACAATGCATCTAAATTTTTGAAGATTAAAATTGACTGGCAAGCAAGAAGTCAGAAGAAAATTTCACAAGTCAGAAGTGTGAGTGAAGAAACTGTTAGCATAGAACTTAAGGTTATATATATCCATTTCAACTGTAAAATAATAAATTTTTTTTCCACCAATCTTCTCTTAAATTCATAGAGTCTAGGTACCAAAGATTCGGTCGATTAGTTCTTTTTACGGCTTATCAGCCCTTATTTAAAGCCAGAAAATATTTTTAAATTGTAAGAAATTTTTTTACCGAAATCTGAATATTTTGTACGCAGTTTTATTTATTTTTGCATAATAATAGTGTTATTCATACACGTATTACTAATTAACCCACAGGTAGGAGGAGAAGAGGCGGATTCAAACCTTTTCCATGGGTATTTGCGCGTAAGTGGACATAACGAACCCAACGGAAATTGAAACTCGGCCCTGCGATTAGCAATAACGAGCCGTTATTCATTGCATCACCAGCACATCCAAACTTACATCACCTGGTATTTCCAGGTGGTCACCCAACTAGGTACTGACTAGGCTCGACGTTGCTTAACTTCGATGATCGTTCAGGCACCAAAATGATATGGCCGTAAGCCGGGTACCAAAGAGGAAAGGGTTATAGAAAGTGACGGAAACAGAGAAAAATTTGACGAGGAAAAAGGACAATAATTGGAGTCTGATTTGTTATAGGGTCCACCCCTTTTTCATACAAGTGGACTCGACCAGTGTGTACTTGTACTGCTGCCGGTGAATACCCGGGAGTTATACAGTATGAGAGATACACTGATACAGTGAACAGTGAGGTAACCGCTTTGTAGGCGTCTCAGAAGGAAGTCCTACTTCGATACTGAATTTCCCAGACTGTATATATATTATTATTGCTACTAACCGCATTTCTGGATCTACTAACCGTATTACTAATTGTATTATTGCATCAATACATTTATTTGCTATATTTCATTCCTGCGTTTGTCTTTCATTTGAGACCGGATTTCATCTCGGAATCCACAACATGATTCAAAGAAATACAGGACGAGGAATTTTTGTTGCATTTAAATTAGATCGTAGTTGACAGGAAGACGAGAAGCCAGAAGAAAGCTCGACAAGCGAGACACAGGTGAAAAGAAACTATTCGGAATTTGAATTCGGCTCGATAAACGTTTCGCTCCAGCACATCTGCAGGAAGGATATATACAGCGTGTATTCGTATGGCGTCCGAATCCTGGAGATGTATCACTTAATTTGAAACCTTTTGAACGAATTAATCTGCATATTTGATTATTTAATGTAATGGATGGCAATTCGAGAATGAGTTATTAACAATGAATTATTTTCTTTTGAGTCTGTGTGAGTATGAGTGTGTGTGCGATTTAATACATACGGTGCATACACAGTATGCATATATAAAAATAATATATATATATTTAATTAATTCATCGAGTCTGACAGAAACCTCAACAGAAGGCCGAAAGCACTGGACGGCCGTTTCGTTCTATATCATCAGCAGTGCGCATCCACTACCGAGAATTGAAACCCTGACATTTAGGTTGTCAAGCAAACATCATAACAACTGTTCCAAAATCAGACTCAACATAGCGCCGCCCGCTCACATATTCCGCGGTGGAACTCAACTGAGTTTCTCTCTAACCATAGGACTGTGCCCCCTGGAGCCACGACTACTCTCACCAAGCCGCTCACTCTAGAGCATTAGAAGCCGGGTCAATGATATACACAGATAGAAATTATTAGGATTTATTAACTTATATATATATATATATATATATATATATATATATAATTATTTCTGTTTCAACACCTCTTGTGTTGAAACAAAACGGCTATTTTTGTAGAGATTTTATAACATATTTATGTTATAATTTTCGAATGAATAATTATTTTTGATCTACTCTGTATTGAGTACTGTTTTAAGAATAGCATTTTTTGGTTATTGGAATTTATTCCATATTTGTATATATATATATATATATATATATATATATATATATATATATATATATATATATATATATATATATATATATATATATATATATATATATATATATATATATATATATATATATATAATTTTGTGAGCATTTTTTCAAATTGTCCTTTCATTCTCTTTTTAATACCGAAATGTAAATATTTTGAACACAATTTTATGGCTTCATCTACAAATAAAATGTATTGTTGGTCATTTTGCTATAAAATGTATTGTTAGTTCTATTATAAAATGTATTGAGGGACTTTCTATTTTAAAAATGTGTTGTTCGTCATTTTACTATAAATATGTTTTTTTTGGTACATTTTTATGTAAAAATATATTGCTGGTATTTTTATACTTTCATACCGTTTTATTTTTGTTTGGGGTTTCACTATTTGACCATAGCTGGGACCCAAACAGTTACTACCACCCCTGATCAAGGTGGACATGGGAACAACAGCAATTAAGAAGTGGTTCTACTCTCCTCAGAACCTCCAATTTACACACACACACACACACACACACACACACACACACACACACACACACACACACACACACACACACACATACACTAAAAAACTATTTTCTGGCTTTAAATGACCTGAAAAACTTAATGACCTTATAAAACTTTATACTTGAAAAAATAAAGTACTATTGCATTTTATACAATTATATATGCACCATTATTTTCAATGACATTTTGCCATTTGTCAAGAAAGATCTTCTTCAGCGGATACTGTACAAAAATTATACAGAAAAGAAAGAAAACTAAAAATTATTAAAAAAAAAAAAACATGAGAAAATTTAGCTGAGCATAAAATGAAATACAATATGCGTAGCGGTTATCGACATAACTGAGTTTGTTGCATTCACTTTCGCGCTTGTACACCCGTGAAATGCATGAATTAATCTCTTCCCTCTCCCCACCTACGGTCTAATAGCAGGGCAAAGTAGGATCCCTTCGTTGGCAGCAAGTTTAGAGGATATCTCTGAAATCAAAATCAGTTGTTCATTTCACAACTCTACCTCGTAAAAAAGAAACCACAGCAGCAATACCAAGCGGGTTGAGGCTATACTTCACAGGGAGTCTAAAAGCACTAAGGAGGAGTAAATTTTGGGATAAAGACTCGATACTGAATTAAACGCAAGTAAAGAAAGTATCTCCACTGGGCTCTGTAGCCTTGGTTGCTGACAAGTCTAGAAGAAAGAAAAATTTGAATGCAAAACCATGGCGTGGGACTAGCAACTTTAGACTGTAAAAACCCTATTCGTTATCGAAATCCCAGCAGCAACAGCTACCATGGTGAGCCTGTGACCCTATAAGTCACAGGACAGTCTGAAAGCACTAGAGAGGAGGACGACAAAGAAATTTTGTTATAAAGACTCGATACTGAATTAAACTGAAATAGTTTAAGAAGCACTAAGAAGACCTTGGCTGGCATGTTTCTCACTAACTTTGCAGAAGAATGTTTTCAGTTTAAAGAATGGAGTCGTCTTTCCTCCTATCGAGATGATTTTTCCAATAGAAAGTCTCTTAAGAGTCTCCTCTTATGTCATTGAGCCAAGACTCATCTCACATTGCTTGTACGTCTTTGAAATGAAGCCAACATTATGCCTAATTCCAAATTATTAAGCAGATCTAACAAAATAAAGAAAAATAAAGACAATACCTGAATGAAGATAATTGATTTATGATTCTGTTTATTTCAAATAAAGCGCAAATACCAGACAAAATGCAAGTGTAAACAAACGGGTCAAAACCCAAGTGTAATAAAGTCCTTTTGTTACTATTTCCTATGATCTGCCATAACATTTACACTATTACGTACCTCTTCTGGGACGGTTTTAACAATATATAGAAAACTGTTGAATATTATATTTAAATTAATGGCATTTATATCTTACATCTTTTAACGATATAGACATTTTATGTGATTTAGAAATGCCACAAACAAATTAGCTGCATTATTACTTATCTCTTACGATCAATATATGTTTACCTATGGGTGTTTCTTTTAAAAACAAACTTTATTAAACTATTATGCTATGTCATAAAAATATTAGATTGAGTGATAAATAATTTCCATTTTATAGTCACAAATTTTATTCAATTTTATATATATATATATATATAAAAATAAATATATATATATATATATATATATATATATATATATATTTGCAATGATTTTTTTTATATTTATATATATATATATATATATATATATATATATTTACACAAATGACTTCGACAAATTTATTGATTTTCGTCGATAAATGTTTACCCCATCAAAGGATTTAATTGGTTAATCAGTTTGTGCTCGGTCAGGCGAATATGGCCGGTAGGGTAGAACAGACCAGCCGAGTTCCAAATTTTGTTCTTGTGTTGTTCTTGTTATACGTCTCCTTGCGTTGCCATGGAAAATGACGTTTTTCCTACTGATGAGCCCATAGCTCTTTTCAACCAAACCTTTATGGACACGTTACAGCTGCTGGACGTATAAATGTGCATCTAGTGTTTCGTTGCGTTTTAAGAACATTAAACGAATAATAACTCGATCCAACCACACACGCACAGCCTTACCTGTCTTCTATGGAGCTCAGCTTTTCGGAGTCGTTTTGTATATCTATCATTGTCAATACACAACTTGTAGCTGGTTTACATTCACCTCATTTGTAAGAAACTACTTTTGTTATTATTTTGTATGATCTGGTATTATATTTACTATTAAAAACTATTAAAAATATATATATATACATATATATTTTATATATATATATATATATATATATATATATATATATATATATATATATGTATGTATGTATGTATATATATATACAGGAATGCATCGATTAATGCGTATTCGATTAATTCATTTTCGATTAGTTCGCTAAATTTTTTATATACCAAAATAGGATTAGTGCATAAATAATACTCGATTAGTACGGTAAAACAGTCTTCAGTTTAACGATAATAATTGAAAATTAATTTTTTTTTTTATAGCTACCGATTAATTAAATATTTTCTAAAATTTGAAAGTGGAAAATGCGTAACTATTTTGTTTGTCATGAATGCTGACACCAGAAGAGAAGTCGAAACGGGTTGACATTTCCTGGACACTTCTGATTCCCTTCCAGGCTGACCATAAGTTTCGTGGTCGGTCGTGGGGATTCATCCTTGGCAATACACAGCGTTTAGTGTTGAGCATTGTCGTATATAACGCATTTACCATGACCTGCTATGATATACTTAAGTAAGAGATTATTTAACTGTTTTGAAAAGATCTCGTTATGAATAAACCATCCGTTTTTTACACAAACGCACCCACACCCACACACACACATATATGTATATATTTGTGTGTACACACACACGCAAACACATATATACATATATATATATATACAGGTAGATAGATAGAAAGAGATGTAGTGTGTGGGGGGCTAAATAAGTATGATTGTGCTTGTGGCATGATTTACAGAAGAAATATCTTTCTCTCTAACAGCAGTGTAGTAGGCCTATATAGAAACTTACACGTGCATTCATCTCTCTCTTTCTCTCTTTCTCCCTACACACACACACACACACACACACACACA